AAAACTCAGACACCCTTAAAGCTTCCCAAAATTGATCTACAACTATTTTTGCTTGACTAAACAAGAAGATACCTGAATGCAGATGCCAACGTCCAGCTAGAGTACCCCGCTCGGTCCTGCAGGGAGGACACCACAATCCCATCTCCACACACACAAAAATCCTCATCTGAAAACAAGACTACAAAACTTTTTTGCAAGATGTTAACTTTTTTTTTTTTTGGTCAGAATGTCACTTTTAAAAATGTTGTTACACAGCTTGAGAGCTGGTCTAGTAACAGAAAATGCTGGTTTTCTTTTCCTCAGTAATACGTAGGAAAAATTATATTTAAAAGAGGGAAGCACAAGCATTGCCAGAGCTGCAACACTAGGTGTAACCATGTCTTGAAAGAAAATTGACTTTAACTTCAACTATCTCTAAATGTGAGCAGCAAAAAACTTCCAGAAATAAACTGCATTTCTAACTGTAATTTTATATAAAGTGAAATGTGCTTGGATTGAACAGGTACACTCGGTGGCTTTACTTGAAGTCTCTGGCATGAGCTGGAAAGGATTTCCACTGATTACTATGAGTGTTTCAAGAAGATTTTATTACAAGGCCCTGCTGATACTGAAGATCAGATAACTCTGTATTTCACTTCAAGCATGTAAGTTATAGTAACATTACAGAGTGAGGCAATCCGGCACACAAGCAGGCAAGTAACAGCCCCATTAGTGACTAAACCATCAGTCCATGACCTGACTGCAATTCTGGTTACGTCTTCAGAAGTGGAGCTACTTGACACCTTTTCAAGAAAGACCACCCCATGAAAGTTAATTGCACAAAACTTTCTTTAAATGAGGAAGGGAATGCTGAAGGGAGACCTAGAATAAGAAGACGTTCAATCGCACCGGCACTAAGGGCTGCAGTTTGGTCAACACAAAGCAAAACGTATAAACATTTCACGCACCCCTGGTCAGAGCAGGCAGACAGGCATCGCCGCAAGGAGACACGCAGCCGAGCTGAGGAGCGAGGCAGAGGAGGAAGAGGAAGGGAGGCTGAAATTCCACCTCCAGCACCCCAGGACCCCTGCTCAGACCTTTTCCAACCCACCCCCAAGTGTAAAAGTCCCTGTCTCAGATGCTGACCTTCCCCTGGGGATCCCCAGTCCTGCTACGCAGATGGAGCCATTTACCCCATGTCGTTTTCCGTCCCCAAATTGTATTAGCATATGCATAAAAGGATTTAATGACTTCTGGCACACATACCTATAGCTGCAGCCCCAGCCCCGCCAACTCACCTGGGACCACCCGCAGTAAAGAGCAGCCACCATGGCGCTTTCTTTTGACAAGAAGTGATGCTCTAACACAACCTTTGGGTGACTGTTGTTCTTCACAGGTCACTTAACTTTTCTCAGTGAAATAAATTCCATTAAAAATCACAGGCAATAAAACCGATGCCCCCGGAAGTCAAAGGAAAAAAAAAATTGCATATACTCGTAAATCACACCACATCAAAATAAGTGGTGGAAACACAAGATATTCCAGAAAAAACAACAATGAATTATTATGACAGCATTTTGTGAAATTATAAGCATATGTTTTCAGCTGACCTACTTATTGCCTTATAATTGACTTCTGTCCCTTAAGGGGGTTCTTAAATATAATTGAGCAGCACCTGCCACGTAAGAGGAACAATTTTGTACACCCATTCCTTGCTCAAATACTGCACTTAACAGCTTCAGCGCCAGGTTTACTCACAGCTTTGGCCGTGCCACTGGAGACAGAGGTGCCCATCCAACAACCTGGGAACCTCCCGCACACCAGGTCACTCTAGGACACGAGTGATCTTACTGCATAGGTCCTTTTTTTTTTGTTTGTTTGTTTGTTTTTTTTCTTATACCAGCCCATTGATTTTCAGCACATACCTACCTGTTCCTGCTCATACATCATTTCATCCATGTCTTCTAGTGCAGCATTTCCCACAGCAAGAGGCAATTTTGGGCACTACCAGCTTCCCATGCTGGTGATGCTGGAATTGGGAGCTCTGCCCTTGCCGATGCACACATGGGACTAGGTGCTATGCTTCTAAAGACCGATTGCTATTAGGGAAAACTTCACAGCAGGAGGAGAGGACAGCAACACTGGGCAGCCAGGACTGCTCTGCATCTGCAGAGCCAAAGTCCCCTGTTCTCAAAGAAGAACCACTAACTGCAAAGGTTGAGAAAACTGTCTCATTCTAGTACTAAAGGAGCAGCAGAAACACCATTGTGCAATGGAAACGTTGGAGCTGAATCACCCCATGGCAAGGAACATCGCATGAAGCCCATGGGAAGGAACAGGGAGACCCGCACCCCAGCATGTTTCCAGCTCAGCCCCACCACACTTCTCCCCCAGCAAGGGCTGGAGGAAGGCAATCCCAGAGTTGTTTTTGTTGCTCAGCTCACAAAATTCAAATTAGATCTTCTCACTGATCTCCTGACGAGAGCTACCGCAGTTGCCTGTTTAAAAGGTCTCAAGGTAGTCACCTCAGAAAGCGACAGCAATTTGTCTGCTGCCTTCTCATTTGGGATAAGCAAGTTCTGATATGGATCAATTAGTTTTGCTGCATATTACAGAGCTGAAATTATATTGATGTGGTAGCTTCAGCCAACACAGCATTGTCCTCTGCCAGGGCAGAGCAGACAGATGCTGGTGCAGAAAGAGCCCCAGTGCTGGCACCGGTGTGGATACACTGCCGGGACCCCTCGGCTGTTGCGCGGCAGGACTGGCGGGTCTGCAACCATGACGGAAGGAAAAACATCCCACCACCCCGTTTTCCTATTATTATTTGGCAGCGCCTCTCAAACGTGTCACTGAACTTAAAGCAAACCTTTAGGGTGGGGCAGAGGGGGTCAGAAGTAAAAGCAAGTCTCCCCGTCTTCCTCAAAAAAAGACAACAGACAAACGGACGTTGAAGCACCCAGCACTTGCAGAGCATACCACGTCCCGAGACAGAAAAAAACGCAAAGTGCAGGAAACGTGTCCGCGTGCTTTGCAGGCAAATGAGGTGTGCCATGCCGACTGTGTAATTCGGCTGTGACGCCCAGCACCTCTGTTTGAGCAGCCAGGCTCTTCTGCGCAAGCAGCAGCTTTCCCCGGGTGCTGGTGCAAGCACTTCCACATGCAAGGTTTTCAAAATCCCACGTCACATCCTTGCTCCCTCAGACACCGAGTGCCCTGGGTGACACTGATCACCCCCCGTTTGCCTAAATCACAAGCCCTCAGTTTCTGTGTGAGTGCGGCACAAAACCCACCTCTTGAAACAACACTTCTGACAAGCCGAAAGATTCTCCGGGACGTCTCCAAGAAGGGCCTACAGCCACCTGCAACATCTCCTCAACTGCCACGACAGACTATCACAGGCTAAAACTATCTTTATATTTCTTTATCCTTGTTTCAACTCTTATTTCCGTGGCTGAGAGCACATTAAACATCAAATTCTTACTGTGACTCACATCTCATTCTGCCGGTGCTGGAAACAGGGACTGCCAACCCGACACCGCTGCGGTTCTGCTTCAGGCTGGAGCAGCGACAAGAAGACACCGCAAAGCAAAATAAAACTTCCCCAGGTTATTTAAATCTCTTTCTCTGACAGACCAACCTCACAACTTCCAGGTCCTGAGCAAAATACGCTTCCACGCATGACAGATGTCCCCAAATTTGCCAAGGACCCGGTTCCACTTTCCTTGCGCTTCCTCACATTTCTACTAAAGTCACTGAGGAATCTGGGGGTGTGTGGGATACAGGTTCGTGCTCCAAGAAATGTTCTACCTGCTCTACTTTTAAAGCAAGTTAGTAATATTTACTCTAAGAAGCATCTTTTAGGAGAGAAAGTGATGCTTCTGTGAGTCTCGGGACGTTAGTCTTTATTTTACCAAGGGAGAGCTGGCAGGCAAGAGCGTGAGCCTGGAAATAGAAGAGGAAAGGGTAACTATCAGCAGGAGGTTTCATCTAGATCGCTAGCACTACTCCTGCAGTGCCGGGGGAAGCAGGGCTGCTGTATAATTAGCAGCGACGAGCCTGAAGCCCCAAACTGAGATGCCAGTGCTCTTGACACCTTTACAGTCATTTCTTCCCAGGAATCCTTAAGTCAGAAGCTCACTCAAATCTCAGCTTCCATTCTTTAAGGAAAGTGCGTTTCTTGCCCTCGGTGTTCCAGGGAATAACTAGAAAACCAGCCCAGCGTAGAAATCGCAGCTCGGGAACCGAAGGCAAACACAATACATGGGTTTATCGGAACAAACCGTGACTTCAGCAGGATTTTTTAGGCCCCTCTCCTAATTCTGGAGCTCTCTGCGTTTAGAGTTTTAAGCCCAGCTCCGACCTGTCCCCAAACTCCCCCGGGTTCTTCGGGCGCGGAGGGGACCGGCAGCAACCACAACTTGTGTGGAGCTGGAGCCCGGCGGCGGCACCGAAACCACCACAAATAAGC